GGAATGAGTCTAACTAATAGAATAGGTAACACAAATCCCAACATTTACTGAACGTCCCTTCGGAGCGACGAAATAAATGAACACCATTAGGCCGTATTAATGTTGAGCCTCAAGTTTAAATGTCCCTTATATTAAACTTAATTACTTTAGTACCTTCATTTGATGGCTTTAATACCGGCACTTTAGTCGGTAATACGCAATGGATTATGATATCTTTTATAATGTGTTTGAAGTCTATTCTCTTCATAGTAGCTTATCATTTAAAAAAATCAATCACACGTTTGCTTATCTTGCCGAAGCCGCGTACAAATAATTTGAAGAAGTCTATTAAGTATGAGGGTGTGCAATTATTTAATCAATTACCGTCTAAAATTCGTAATATTCGCGCGTTTAACCAATTCAAAAGGGCATTAGAGATACAAATCAGAATGAGCCTAGTAGAAATTTGTAATGAGAAATAAATTTCTTATTTAGTTAGATTAGTTGTAAATTAATGTCAAAAATGTAAATATACATTTACTCATTTAAAATTAAGCATGTTTAGTATTTGATAATGTTCATCATTACTGTTAATGTCTGTTTGAGAAGGAACTACCGTGCCAGATCGCTGGAGTTCAGTGCTCAAGATTTCATCTCGCATTTTTATCCTAGTGGCTGCTAATGATAAAAACTAAACATTCGATATATTTACTACTAGACGGTTGTCTACTAGACATTTTTTTTTCACGAGTTTTTGAAGTTATAACACTTTGGCGTAAAAAGATAACATTTTAATCTTTCGCCTTATTCTACGCTTGTAGAAAAAACTACACTAACAATAGAAAAAACTAAAATGTTGACTATAGCTAACTAAAGGGTGTCGGTTTTTTGTGACGGTGTGCGCGCGCATCGTAAAAATTTACTATCATCATTTTTCCCTAACGCGCCATAAGAAGTATAACTTCAAAAACTTGTTAACTCTTCAAGTCATCTATGTCTTCAAGATTGATATTACTTAAGAGATTTTATTGTTTTCTGTTTTAACTCCGACGGAGACGTGATCGTTATCATATTGCATTTTCTCAGAAACGTTTCATATAATAAGGTCACGTGACAGATTATACTGCATTTGCTACTGTGATACTAGACTATTTGTTGACAATTCGCTACATGATACGATAAGTAATACCCTAACATGTTATATTGTCAGAAATATTCCCAGAGGACTTTGTCGATTCCCGACGAAATATTTATTGTAACAGTTTGGCTGATTATTTCCCCTAAAATTTTTAAGCTATTGCATAGCTTTTATCGCGGGCCTCGAGCGTGGAGACCGAATTCAGAAATTCCGTAACGAAAAAACCTTACGCGTTAGAGCAGGCGGAACGCATACTGCGTATTCACATCTCTCTGACGAGATCGGTGCAGCCGGTGCGCGTTAGAGTGAGACAGACTATATAGGCAAGTTAGTCTGAGTCTGGTAGAGTGGTAGATTGAATTAATTTATCAAAGAAGAAACTTGAATTAATATAAAAAAAAACTGCATAAATAAATAATTGTAATTGCATAAGTTAAAAAAAAATTATGCAATAGCTTTACCACGGCAGTCCCCAAGTGCCACACGTTTTTTTTTACATAAAATAGTTACTGGAGTGTGTCTACCGTATGGTCACAGAACTTATAATGACGGTCGTGAAGTCCGTAAATGTACTTTTTGTAATTAAAAATGTAACTATTATGACTTTATGACTAATTGGTGATTAAAAATTAACGAGTAATATAATTTTTTACCTTCTCGAATCTAGAATACAATAAAAGCAGGAATATGCAGGTACCCTCGTGGATAATAAATGCAAAAACTGCTATAAAAAGATGCTCTCGTAGGAGCGAAAGTCTTGTGAAAAGAAACTAAAGATAACAAGTAAGACGTTCCTGCAATCTCTTTGGTATTTAAGAACTTTGGAACTATAGAAATAACTAGAAAGTATTACGTCCATTATATTTAAATACTACTTTTTATATTTGTATAGATTATTATACTACAGTTTTCTACATTAGGGGTCTGTTTCACAATGTACGGATAAGTTCAACATAAGTTCCAAATTAGCTATTTATTACTCATTAGTAGGATAAACACTATTGTTGCGTTTCACGACTGTCAGATAGCGCTATTCGTCACATAAAGTCCATCATAAGTTATGAGTCCGATGAATGTCAAATAGCACAATTTATCGTCCAAATTATTTATGTGTTGCATAGCTATTTGGTACTTTATCCATACATTGTGAAACAGACCCTAAAACTGTAATAATAATTGTTAAATTAAAGAAAGTCACGTTAACGACATGCATTGTCAAAGGCTAAGTCTTATAACTGGTAAACTTGACTGACCTTTGATATTGTTCCTCCAACAGTATCCTCGTAGTAGTCAAAGTGAGAAGTCAGCATAAGATCCAACAGCGAAGGCTCATTGTCAGCTCACGTAGGCGTTCAGTTAGAAAATATGGAATGCCGATATCATGAAAGCTTCTTCTTGAAGCTTCGTACTGAGTCATACGAGAATTCAGTCACTTAAAATGAGACGCTGTGTATTATTTTTACTGGTAACGGAAGTGCTGTTACTTTTCATAATTTTAAGTTAGTATTGTAACTGTACTGAGTACTGCAGTATCTTTTACAAACTTGAATAAAGAAAAGTTTAATTCTGAGTACTGTAATATTTACAGAACACAATAATACCAAGAGACCCGAAGTTTTGTTTTATATTAGCGTCTGCGGTAGATTTTCAAATGAAGTATCCTAATTCAGAGGTGGAACGTAATTTTTGTGGTAAAACTTTGATATCAAAAGGGTGGTTTCACGAAATTGTGAGCGGCATACAAATAAGGACATTTTCATAAAAAAATTGCTAAACTTTTCGGCTTTTCATTTTTAATATGGTGTAAATATACTTTGTTTAATAAACTTGTCGATAGCATGACTCTGATAACGTGTGGCGGATGAAAGTGTTATAAGGTTTTGGGAACTTAACATCTGTTTTACTGAGGCATAAACAGAATGACAAACAAATGAATAAAACAAATGCTAAATAGAGTGGTTAGGGATTTTCATTAAAATATGTAAAAACATCCGCTTGTTATAATTTAATATTTCACGATAAAAAATAAAATAAATAAATCAATGGCCTCAGCTTTCTCTATCTGTTTCATGATCATTTGGTAATCTAATAGGCAAGCAGGTGATCAGCCTTTAGTGCCTGACGCACGCTGTTGACTTTTTGAGTCTAAGGCAAGCCGGTTTCCTCACGATGTTTTTCTTCACCGTTCGAGAGAATGTTAAATGCGCACATAGATCGAAAGTCCATTGGCAAACAGCCGGGGATCGAACCTACGACCTCAGGGATGTCAGTCGCACGCTGAAGCCACTAGGCGATCACTACTCTAATATTTCACGAAATCAACAGTTATTTATAATCAATTTTAAAAGGTAGGAAGCGCGTTTTAATTTCAACACCAACCTTACTTTCCAATATCAGGTTATTTTAATAAAATTCTAATTTCTTAACGACATCAAGCAATTATTCAAGGAGGTCCAGTCCACCTGTCGAATTTTGCTTATAAAGCAATTTTCTTCGATAATTAAAGCGGATCGCGGTTTTGGACTCGAGAAAGATGTTTTAAAAATATGGAAAGGCTTTTTATTTTGATGATAGCTGATTTTAATTAAAAATTTTGTATAAAATAAGTCGTAATAACAGTTCGAATATTCTTAGGTTGGAACCTTGTATTATTAAGCTGCTCGAAGTAGGAAGGTATACATTTCCGGTAATTGGTATATCCGAACCAATTCTACTTAGAGTCTATTTCTTAAAAGGCCGGCAACGCACTTACGAGCCTCCTGGCAATGTGAGTGTCGATGTGTGGCGGGTATCACTTAACATATGGTAAGACTCCTGCCCGTTTGTCTGTCCTGTACATAAAAAAAAGTTTAATTTGTACAACCACGCATTTTCTTTAAGTATCGATCTTATATTACATTTATTAATACTAACAAACCAATCATTACTTACTAACTAAAAACAATCAGTGTTATCTAATTGGAACACATTATTATTATTACTAAATATTTCATTTTGTTAATAATACTTGGAGAACAAAAAATAAAAGCTACTAATTATGTTTTTAACACTATGTTTTCTTTGTTACAGATTTCAACAACCTCCTATAAACAAAGCGTAAGTTTGGTCAAATTGTCCGTTTTCTTTTGATTTTATATGAAAAAACAAGCAAGCATTGCAAGATTTCGTTTTGCAATACAATATAGTAATGTTGATATCATTTCGCATTTTGTGTTCAAAAAGCGTAAGATTGCTGCATCGATGCAATCAGATGGTATCAGAAATTTCATATTTTAGCCGTTATTACTATCTACCTATGAAAATTTATTCTTCACGCGAATATGACCTGTATTGTGGTGGTTAATGGTCCATTTTTCATCATCACAAGCACTCAATTAACTGATATACCCGGGGGCGGGAATTTAACGAAAAATCGGTGACTATACAAACATTGATAGCTTTTCATCTGTTCATTATCTACCCTTGGCGTGTTTTTTTGAGTCTTATTTTGGTCTGTTCGAATTCTATTTATTGCGTCATCTTGTTGACAGCTCAATTAAAAAATAGTTATTTCATTTGTGCTTACGTTCTATTCTTGTTACAGATTTGATGAAAGCTAAAATGGACTACGTTAGACGAAGGAATGGCCAGAGATGAATTTGAGAACTAGGAAGAAACTTTTAGCGAAAATAGGGCCATAGTTTAGTTTTAAAAGCCAAAGTCATGTAAAGTATATTAAGCTCTGAAATCATCATATCTTGTATCATATCAGAGAATCATCATTGGACATATCTCATTATGCTAGTCACCTATATGTGATTATAGATAGTAAACGATATTGCTCAAAATCTACAAAAAGTATTCCTAGATAGAAATTAATATAGAAAGTGGATATTGATTGACGATGAAGTACAGCATGTTTTTCTTACGGAGAAGGACTCTGATCCTGAAGGCTGTATTAATACTGACAGCGGTGTGGTTCATGGTAGCGCTGTTGAGTACGAATGGAGCCACGAGGAATGCTATAGGCGCTGCGCCCATTGAGTACGACGAAGCTGAAGCCAAACCGTTAAAAATGGCGAAGCCGACAGCCACTAAGAGGAAAAGCGAATCATATGGGAATAATCTCTCTGATGGTACGTTTTTTAGTATAAAAATTGCATGCGCTTTGGTATTAAGACGCTGCATGATTAAACAATACCCACAGTTTAAAATCCAATAATCGTTCTCTCCGATTTTACGAGCTACGCCTGAACAAGAAAACCACATTAAAATCGATGAAAATAATGTTTCTTTTTTCATTTCGTTATCGAAGTGAATTCGCCCATGTGGATATAAAACTGTGGCAGCCTCGTAGTGGTTCGCTGTGAATTTTCCGTAATAAAATATGCAATTATTTTAAAATTTATATGCCACGTTTTCCCGTTACGCTCCATCGCCTGTTGGGATTTTATGACCCTTGTAAATAATGGCTCCATTCGAGAACCCCCTTTGTATTCTTAGTTAGGAGTTGAGAATCTAATACGATCATTAGACGAAGTCTTAGCCACTTTGCATGCCATTGTTTTGATCACGACCGCGATTACGGATTGCATTAGTAAAACACAAATTATATTTTATCTTAATGCTTAAATTGCCTATAAGCATGTTTATGGAAGTTTCGAGAATTCCACTCGATTTTTCTTGACACCTAACAAAATGAAGTTTTGCTCAACCTCAAATTGATATTTAATGTTTTGTCGTTCTCAATTGTGATTTAAAAATAAACGCAACAAGATATTTATTAATTGAGGCTTGAGAATGTATACATACTAATAAATACAGCTTTGATAATATATTATCAATAATTATAATATCAAAAATTATTCTAACGTTTCGCGAGCTTTATACATGGTGATGGGATAGTGTTGTCGCATATAAAATTGTGATAAGAAGCCTTTGTATATTTATTAGTATGGATAAACCATTATACCTGTTTGCACTTAACTAAAGATCTCATCTCGTTATATACATCAGGTATTTTCACAAGATATTTAAGTTAAAAAGGATTTTTAAGTAAAAGACTTAAAAAAATGAGTTCATATAAAATAATGATTATAATTTTATAATTAGAACTGAAAAGGTTAACAATCTTTAAATTTTGTTCCTAAACTATAAAACATTATCAGATCTGACCTCGCGGATTACTTTTGTAATTTTATGCTTTACTTTAGGATTTTAGTCCCAACCTATTTTGAATAAATTAATTATATGTTAAGTGCAAAATGGTATATCTATGTATAGTGATATTGCATGATAACTTACATTTATCCATCACAGCACGAACTCGGGTCGATTGGATCGGTCGCATCGCTGGCATCGAAGGTAATGCATGTTTATTAATTAATTGTAGAACATTTACAAAATAAGTAAAATCTCCCTTCACAATTGTACATAATAGTATCTGAAGGTTGTTATTGGAATTGGCTATTTTAAGAACCAAGATCTACCTGTGCTGGTATTTGGGTTGAAAGCGATAAAAATAGTGATTACTTATTGTCCAGTATTGATTCCTTTTAACTGAATTTGATATAGTTCTTACAAGGTGTGATAGCGCTTGGGATCGAAAGAAAAAATTTCAATGTTAAAGTCGATATTGCTATCTATATTAAGGTTTAGAAAATATCAGCGCGGGTACAGTCTGTCTTTTATGTAATGATTAAAATACATATATGAAAAATCAAATATTTTATGAATATCTCATTATTATTGAACTAAGATTTATCCAAATATTGTTACGCAGACAACTGACTTATGTTTTTATGTTATAAAGATTCTTTTAATATTTCTCGATAACTGCCCTTCCGATAATTTGATTTTGTTCTGAGCCCCACACAACAATTCGACACATCGGCTACTCTTTCACTTCATAACTAAATCGCAATATTAAACACATCTCCAGGTGTATTTTATCATCATTAGATGTAATTTGAAATATATTTGTACTTAAATTTACATGTACCATCGTGAAAAAAAAATTAGGAGCATTGTGCGGATTATAAAATAAACTATATTATGGTTTATAAATCAAAATGTCCTTACAAATTTATTTAATTCACATACTGGTTGTCACTGTTGCACATATAATCAAATAAATAATTTGTTTTATCGTCCTTAATTTAGTATGCATAGAAAACAAAAGAGCATCACCTGTGTTTAAATTTGTATTTTTAATAAAGCTAAAACAATAGAAATTACATAATTTGATATGACTGAATGTGATTAGCATATTACCTAATAGGTTTATTAAATATTATAGCTCAGTTCCCATGCATTGAAGGGATGTCTATATTTACTACAAGCCCGCCGTTCACACATATCAGTTGAATTACAACATCCGAGCTATTTACTTTCACGTCTATGCGACGATTAGAAGCACTTTAATAATCGAAATAGCATTGAGTTTCAATCGATTTAGATGTTGCATATACCTTTAAGAGTATTACGGTAAAGATTATTTTAGATTTATAGACGTTTAATCGCAAATCTTTAAAATAATAACTTACATGAGACTTAATGGTTTAACTTAATAGCTATGTTGTTCGATGTGTATTCACCAATCTTCAGTATATAGATAATAATGTAAAGGTTTTCTTTGAATGAAGGAAAGCTCATAAAAATATAATTTTTCGATTGAAAGTTTATTTAGCAACTTTAAAATCATTTATATATATATATAGTTAAAAGTCCAGGAGGGAAGGGCAGTTATCGTTAATTAATTCCACGTTATCGAAGTCGTGTCTATTAACTCGTATAAACTATGTAATATATTTAACAATCTTGCTTGAATAAAGTGTAACCCCACGCTCATAAAAACTAAATGAGTCTAAGTGCACTGTTTTAACTGAAGTGTTCATTCTGCAAATTGAGGTCCTTATAAATAATGGGTTAAGTAACTGTAATAAATGTAATATAATATATATTTTATTTTATAATTGAATACAAAAGAACATTAGACAGTGAAAAGACAGACCTATCGGGACTCTAATCTTCAATATGATATCAATAATAAGTTAGTTTTTCATATACCCCATTTGTGACCGCAAATTAACCTGACATAACATTCCTTAAATTTTTATTAATACTTAAATTTTAAATCTTAGGGTTAGGAGTGATTGCCGCGCCAGGATCGGATAACGCACCCGGCGAGCTCGGGAAACCGGTTGTATTACCTAAGAATATGACCGAAGAGGCGAAAACCGCGGTCTCCGAAGGGTGGAAAAAGAATGCGTTCAATCAGTACGTGAGTGACCTGATATCGATTAGGCGGAAACTACCCGACCCGAGGGATGAGTGGTAAGTCCTCTTGATGTGTGGGTAATAGTAGGATTGTGGGTGGAATTTCATAAGAAATAGCGTGGGCTGATAGATTTCAGTGGATGTGACGTCGTAAAATGAATATGAATGTCTTTGTCGATTTGTAAGGGATGTAATTTATATAATGGAAAGGTTTGTTGATTTTAACGAGGCTGTTTTAACTGTTAACAACGGATTGCTGATTGGGTTGTATGCCGATTTGAATTATACATTTCGTCAGGCAGTGTTTTTTTTTTAAGTTACGAGTAAAATACCTATTTAACAAAAATCTACAACCAAAAAGGTCTGAGCCTCAGATTTATGTATCTGTCTCATGATAATTTTTAAATCTAATAGGCGAGTAGGTAATCAGCCTCCTGTGCCTGACACCCCTCGTCGACTTTTTGGGTCTAAGGCAAGCCGGTTTGCTCACGATATTTTCATTCACTGTTCGAGCGAATGTTAAATGCGCACATAGACAGAAAGTCCATTCGTGCACAGACTGGATCCAATATATAATTATAAAATAATCAGGGATGAGAGCCACTAGGCCAACACTGTTCATACAAATACCTATTCACTTACCAAAAAAATATATGTTGCATCAACCTCGAGATTCACATTCGAGAATTGACAGCCCAATTAACAAAAATGACATCGTTTAAAATAAATCTCATAGATAATTAAGCTTAAAGTCAACTCTTTATCTGTGGAATTGACAATTGACAACCACCCATTCCTGAGAATACAATTCTAGAAATTATTTCCACCCACAATTTAAACTTCGAACATAAAGTTATTTTAAAATTCAAGATGTCTAATAAATGCAATTTCCCACAGGTGTAAGCAACCGGGTCGTTATCTAGAGGACCTGCCGCAGACGGCTGTAGTGATATGCTTCCACAACGAAGCCTGGTCTGTGCTTCTAAGGACCGTGCATTCAGTCATCGACCGCTCGCCTCCGCACTTAATAAAGGAGATCGTGCTCGTAGACGATTTCTCCGATATGCGTTAGTATTCAAATTTAAATTGAATGTAAACATTTATTTTTCGGTTTACAGATACTATAGTTCTCAAAGAATTATATTCACTTAGTGAGAAAATTTAAATTTAAAGTATCGTCGTGTTATCAAATTATTAGAAATTAAATTTACTTATTAAATTTTATACAAATATCCAATATGTAGGCGTAACGCAGTTATTCAGTTTAATTTCAATATAATATTACTTGTCTTCACATCTTTTTGATTTGCTTGGTAATATGACTAAGAGGGCGTTTTGTTGAAATTATCAATTTCTTAAAGGAAAAATGTTTTATATAAAGAACTCTTTATTAATTCATGCCTTTGATATCAGATATACCATTGGGACATTTCATCGCGTATCAAAGTATGCTTTGATGTTGGAGGTAAAATATTTCCTTAAGGTTGGAAAGCCATAAATGTTCCTGGAAAATTACCGCCTCTGTAGCTCCGTTGGTTTTATAAGATGCTGGATGATAAAGCCTCGCCTCTTAACATAGTGATGTCATGTTTAATATTTTGCAGCACACCTAATGCAACAACTAGATGACTATATGTCAGCATTGCCCAAAGTGCGTATAGTGCGAGCGACGAGGCGGGAGGGTCTAATTCGGGCGAGACTGCTCGGCGCCCGATACGTCACTGCGCCCGTCCTTACCTACCTGGACAGTCATTGTGAATGTACAGAAGGTATGTAGTTTTGTGATTAATATGATGAATTGAATAGGTCGTTGGTTTCACCACAACAGTGAATTGTTATGATAATTTTGATTTTTATGTTTTTTCTGCATACTTCTGGTTCTTTCTCATTATTTTTGAAGTTATACTTCTTTAGGCGCATTATGAAAAATTGATGAGAGTGAGATTTTACGATGCGCGCGCACCGTGACACAAAATTATCAGAATGACCATAATGACCTTTGTAGTACGTTTTAAACAATTAAAGGAGTTTTAATTATTTTTTTAAAGAAATTTAGCAATGCTTTTTCACAAAGACCTATAGTTACTTAGTTAAAAGGTTATGAAACATACCTAGTTATTAAATTGAAGGAATAATATAATAAAATAATAAATAATAATAATTATTAATATTAATTAATAATTGAATAATATATGTACTAAATATTAAATATTATTAAATTATTAACATTAAATATTTATTATTAATTATTTAATATATAAAAAAATAAAGAAAGCCAAAGAAGTATAACTTCTTACGCGCGTACATAAGTACACGCACTCTTTTTTTTTTAAATAGGCAATTATATGACAACCTTGTATACCTGACCTGACTGATTTTTTAATGTATAATAAGTTTGATCACATTTCTCCGTTATGTCGAATTGCATTGTGTAGTATTTGTACGGTTTACAACCGTACAGGTATTTCAATTTAAACGTCACCATGCAATACGATTTGCTAGTGTTTTCATTTTCATTGTATTTTATTATATTCACTTAAGTTAGTTTGCATTCAGACGTCGTACAGAGCGCGACTGTAATCCCAATCTCATCTCACCCCACTAGTTTAGTCCATTGTAGTTTAAATAAATAATTATTTCTTTAAATGTCTTTATAATTTATCCCAATTAAAATTATGGCTCGAAGGACCAATGTTCGGGACATTGGTCCTTCGAGCCATTAGTCGTATACAAAACCGTATGGCTATTTTCAGGTTGGTTGGAGCCTTTACTCGATAGGATTGCTCGGAACAAGACAACTGTGGTATGTCCTGTAATTGACGTTATCGACGACAACACACTCGAGTATCACTACAGGGACTCGTCGTCTGTCAATGTCGGTGGTTTCGACTGGAATCTCCAGTTCAATTGGCACCCGGTGCCCGCCAAAGAGAGATCGAGACACAAACACACAGCAGAACCTGTCTGGTCCCCGACCATGGCAGGAGGCCTGTTCGCGATTGACAAAGAGTTTTTCGAACGACTCGGAACCTATGACAGCGGTTTCGATATATGGGGTGGAGAGAATTTAGAATTATCTTTCAAAACTTGGATGTGCGGCGGAACTTTGGAAATCGTTCCGTGCTCGCACGTAGGTCATATATTCAGAAAACGATCGCCGTATAAATGGCGAACGGGCGTTAATGTGCTCAAGAAGAATTCTGTTAGGTTGGCCGAGGTAAGGACTTTCAATGATTTTCATAAAATGTTCAAGTTTTAGAAGTTTTAGGATAAAAAAATCTTTGTTTCACAGGTATGGCTAGATGACTACGCTAAGTATTATTATCAACGAGTAGGTAACGACAAAGGTGATTATGGTGACATTAGCAGCCGATTAGCGCTACGAGAAAATCTCGGATGTAAATCGTTTGAGTGGTATTTGAAGAATATATACCCCGAGCTATTTATTCCCGGCGAATCTGTAGCGCATGGAGAGGTATGTATATGTTTTAGATGTTAAATAATTCATGTCAGTAAATATGCAAGGTAATAATTTCGAGCAGTGTTGGCCTAGTGGCTTAAGCGTGTGACTCTCATACCTGAGGTCGTAGGTTCGATCCCCGGCTGTGCACCAATGGACTTTCTTTCTATGTGCGCATTTAACATTCGCTCGAACGGTGAAGGAAACCGAAATGTCTTAGACCTAAAAAGTCGACGGCGTGTGTCAGGCACTGGAGGCTGATTGCACCTACTTGCCTATTAGATTTAAAAATGATCATGAAACCGATTCAGTAATCTGAGGCCAAGACCTAAAGAGGTTGTAGTGCCACTGATTAATTTTTTACTTTTTATATAATTTATGAGCAGCAACTAATATTCTAGTCTTGTAATACCAGTACGAGTGCATGTAAAATGTGATCTTTCAAAATTGTGTACCAATTTTCGTGCAGATTCGAAATGTCGCCTTCCAAAAGACTTGTTTGGATTCACCGACGCGCAAGTCAGATCATCATAAACCAGTCGGAATTTATCCGTGTCATCGGCAAGGAGGAAACCAGGTCTTTAAAATCTTAGAGTTCGCGCGGCAGTACCATTTTGATCTTTGTTTTGGCTGTTTCGATCTGTCTGCACTCGCATTATAGCACGATTGGATGTCCCATTTATTGTCACCTTGCACGAATTTGAACGTTTTTATAATGCTAATTACTAGATGTGGAATCAAGCGCTCGACCGCCGTTACTGCCTTGACGGCGAGGTTCTTGATGATACTCAAGAGGACCCAGGCGTGTTAATGTTGCACACATGCCATCGAGGTGGTGGCAACCAGGTATCACAATTGGATACGTGTGAAAAATCTACGGGGTAGTTGCCTCTTCTCTCCACCTCCCAGCTTCTTTGATTAATTCATTTTTAGATTTAGTGAACCACTTTCACCTTTTTAGTTGTTGTTTGAGACTTAGATTTAAAATTTTCTCAAACGATAACTATATTTGCACGCTTGCTTGTTGTGGCACGTTTGTTTTAACTTTGGATGGCATTAGATCGGGAATTCCGGCTCGGATATGTGCCTCGACTCGGCCGCTGGACCGGAAGATATGAAAAAGCCCGTTAACCTCTGGCCCTGTCATGGAGAATACGGGAATCAGGTTTGTGAATGCCGAGACTGTAAATTGCTTTTGCTTTATCATGTAATTTTATCGTATGGAATTCATCTATTTCTAACCTTAATTTCATTATCGTTTTAACATGTATTCGATAATAATGCATGTGCATTGGAACGAAACAGCTTTAATACATCGTATTAAATTTATAAACCATTATAGGGGTGATATTTTACTTACGTTTTCAGATACTCTCACTTTACCTATAAAGTATTCTTGGTACTGCCGCTACGAATATTAATATCTAGTTTATAAGTATTTGTATGTAATTATTTGAACTTTCTGCTTCCATTTTAATAATATCATTGTATTTATGCATTACATTTTTCATAATTGATGAGCTTTCCGTTCAATTGCGGTTTGACTAGCTTTCGGGATTAGAATTTTAATTTACAATTTAATTTCTTTATGGGGGTTCTAATCTGTCTTTCAAATCAAAGTCGAATTCGCTTGAAAGCGTTGGCGCTAAAGGTGTTTTGTCGTAAATATTTTCAGTACTGGATGTATTCGAAGAACGGTGAAATACGTCGTGACGAAACCTGCCTCGACTATTCGGGACATGATGTTGTCCTCTATCCGTGTCATGGTGCCAAGGGCAACCAATTATGGCTGTACGACCCCAACGTAAGTTAATGGGTATTTATTAACATGCCAATATAACATCGACAAATTGCGATGTTGTCAAGCGTAACTAATAAAGTACAACGACCTTTTACGTTTTAATTCGAAAATGTTATTACGTTATAAAATTGGGACTTATTTAATAAAGTGTGGAGTTGTCATGTATACCACAAACACACACAAACACACATACACACGTATACACATATTATCCATAACTTGTTGTAATGTTATTAATGTCTCTGTCATGTAGATAAATTTGTTTTGATTGAATGCTAAACTTGAGGGTTAAGCCGCAGTTAAAATGTTGATACATATAGTATGTTAATATAGTAAAATTGTAGTTTCCGACCCACTGGTCAAAAGTTTGCGTGAAATATGAAGTTAATAAAATATGTATATTACGTTTTTAGTGTTACTGAACTTAATGTGTAAAATTTTAAATGTTCCGTACATACAGATATAAAATAAATCTAATAGGAATTTTGTTCAAATGTAATCACTTGAAATGTCATCATTTTTCTACTCCATGTATACCGTACAAATTTCATTTACAGACAAAGTTACTAAAACACGGCTCGAGTGAGAAATGCATGGCGATTAACAGGAATAAAGACAAGATTGTGATGGAGTCATGTAAAGAAGGCGAGTCGCGACAAATGTGGAACATGGAGAACTTCAACGCGGACAGACTCAGTCCAGAACTCCTGGGCGAGTAGCCGGAGGCCTATGACGAGTTGCTATTCATATAAAGACATTTTAACTTTGTTCTGTGCTTTGTGCTTGACCCCGTTAGGCCTATTAAGCTAAATATATTTTTTTAGGGACTTCCTTTATGACTGCATATCGTATTCTTAGTTGTAACGTGTACATATCTACTACATATTAGATTTTATCTGTCTAGATAAATGTCCAGAATACAGAAATTTTATATTTATAAAGAATTTATTTTGTTTTGTCGTTTCGAAGATTTATTATAGAAATTAGTTGAACTGAAATTTGTATGTGATTTGGAACGAAGTGAACATTTCGTAATTACAGCGTATTAAGGATTTTTATTAAAACTATATCGTAACGAATGAAAGTGCAAAAGTCGCAATGTACAGTATTGTATTTTATTTCTTCATACACTTTTCATCTGAATACAAATCTGATTATTTTCGAATTTCTGAATAATTTCCCACATCTTTAGAAATGAGAATTTTAAATTCAAGTCAACTAAGTAGGTCACTTTCTGTCAAATTATGTTAATGCTGCGAAGGAAGGAGACGGCTACTTTCAGTGTTTAAATAATTAGTCTGAATAATTGGGTATATTTCGTCGGAATTTCTCTATTGATATTAAATTAATACTCTTAACCCTTTATTCATAGAAATATATTTTGCTTGTGCTCATCTCTCTCTTCATCATAGCATAAAGGCAATTTGAGTGATAGAGACGAGAGAGTGCTGATTTGTTTCTATGAACAAGGTGGTTTATCTTAAACATTCCTCTTTGTGATATCTTATTTATATACTTAATACTGCCAGTAATGTATAAATTCTGTTATCTTTAAATAAGTATATTATATATATTATTTTATAGTGCCGTGTTTATTTTTTTCGTACCTGATTGAAAAGTATTCATCTACGTTCTATACTATATTCGTCCTATTGATATATATATATATAAATGTTTTCTACTAAATTTACAGCCCGATTACCTAACAAAGCCATAAGCAATGTTATGGCAGTGATATATACAAAATGGCCTAACTCACAGTTATTTAACGACTCTAGGTCCTATTTAGAATTTAGTTTTTGAGTGTGAAATTTAACCGAGTAACATATCACTTTACAAACGCAAAAATCATTAAGTTTAGGATTATAGTACGTTGTTGAATACGACTTTTCATATACACGAGATATTTTGATTTTCACATCTATGTATTTTTTTATTTTTTTTTATTACACAATTGTAATTCATAGAAAAATTGTTGTAGTAATTTCGAAATTGTTGACGTTGTATAGTTTGTTAGCCATAACTAATTAAATGTAGTGTTTTAAGTAGCTTTACTCTGTACATAATATGATATACGGCATAAATGTATAAAAATTAAGTTAGGATGTTATTAAATGTGCCTTATATTTACGTAACGTATTTCATGTTAAATTTCTGTATATAATGACTCTAAATGTATCTTGTCGATAGATGGCGGTAGTAGTATTTGTAAAATAAAGCATTATGTTGGATTTTTATTCTGTGGTTTTATTTTAATTAAATATTTTGAAAATAGAATGTTGTCTTTAAAAATATTCTGTCTCAAATCTATTTCTATAAAACTTTTTTATGAATGACTGATTTTGAGCTGCAAACTTGCCTTTGACATATAATCTTAATATATATAAATTACGTGTCACGTTGTTTGGCCGCTATGGACTCCTAAACTACCGAACCGATATCAATCAAATTTGCACACCGTGTGTAGTTTGATCCAGCTTAAAAGATAGGATAGCTTACATCTCAATTTATTTTACCCGCAATATTATTGTATTGCAAAATATTTGTTTATTATTTGATAGTCACAATTCTAACAGATGGCGCTGTTTTGAAAGTACCAACGTTTCACATAAGCTGCAATTTAATGGCATAACCACCAAAAAAGCATCCCCATGCCTGGTGTTCTCCTACCGTTTCCCTTGCATAGTTTGCTACTATGTAATATAACAAAAACCATAGCCACAGCAACGCTTGGCCGGTCTGCTAGTTGTGATATAAACGCCCACTTAAACATTATACAGAGGATGTTTTAAAATTCTATTCAGAAAGGCCAAATTTAGCTAAGGGCTTATCGAATTGCCAATCTCCAATGTTTTACTGATCGGCTTGATTCTCTCTCTTTACGCATTACAAACTGTACTATGGAAAGTGTTCTGAAGAGTTGTTTGGGTTGATCTTTCCTGCCTCGTTTCATCACCGTACGAGCCGTAATCACTCAAAATTTCATCCGCATCACCGTGATGGCTGGATTTTTTTTACTGTCTGCTACTAGACATTTTCTTTGGCTAACTGTGCAATCGACTCCCGATGGGGGTCATAACTGGGAGATACGACCACCAATTGTTTAAAAAAAGAGATAGATAGAGATCCGAGGAGTAACGTAGAGCTTCAAAGGCTGGTAAGGCACCCATTAAAATTGGTGTCCATAGTCTGCGATGACTGCTCTTTATAGGCGTCCCGTTGTTCCCCTATCCTAGGTAACCCTAAAAAAAGCCTATATAATATAACCTATACAAATTCAAATTTCTGTTTTCTTCATAAATTAAATTTGAAAATGGCACTTCATGTAAAATGTTAAACTTGAATTTAAGACCTGGAGCACTACGGTAAAATCGACATGCCGGTAGCTGTATAAGTCCAGGCAACTCCAGATGGTAAGTATCAAAGTATATTACTTTACTTATACAAAATATAGATTATTAACATGCCTTAGGGCCGGTTTTTTGATCCGTAGTTAACTCAACTATTAGTAAAAAATCGTTACTATTAGTTAAATATCAGCAAAATGCGTTTTTTGATCCGTGGTAAGAGCATCCAATGGTAAAATATCTAACCATTAGTCAAAAAATTAACCACCCAGTTAACTACTCAGTATCGGAGGGTTAAAAAGATGGCCGCTGGTAATTTATATAGTAACAGCTGTTTGTCACAGAAATCAAACTATGATAAATACGTTTATTACTATCTAATGATGAATTTAAACATATTGAGATACTTTAATTAATGAGACGATGAAGAAGACGATAATATTATATGAGAATGTGTTAATGAGTGACCAAAAATATTTAGGCAATGTCATCCGCCATTAGAAACCTGGGATATTAGATTTTTGTCACTGTTACCCCTATCGAAGGGAACAGTGCTCTGGATTGTTACTGAAATTGGGAATGATCTTAAACTGCCAATGAACAAGAGTATATATAGACAGCAGCTCATACCAACCTATTTTGCTTCATTACTAACTACAGAACCGCAGCAGTATATAATTAAATATATTACTAATTCATTATGTGTTTTATTGCCTATAATATTAACTTATAATTATTATAATTAAATAAAATACAAGAACAAGAGTATATATAGTCAGCAGCTCATACAAACCTATTTTGCTTCATTACTAGCTACAGAACCGCATCAGTATATAATTAAGTATATTACTAATTCATTATGTGTTTTATTGCCTATAATATTAACTTATAATTATTATAAGTTAATATTATAGGCAATAGAATATATAATGAATTAGAGTTAATATTATTTATATATTACTAATAATATTAACTTATAATTATTATAAGTACATACAAGTATGTACTTATACTAAAAACTACAGCTACACATTAGTTAGAGACCTATGATATTCTTTAGGCTTTTATTACATTTGTGAGTTAGCATCTACCTACTTTTATTACAAGAATTTATAAATAAAACATTTGACTTGATTAATAAACTGTTTAATTATAACTTAAATACAAACCATTTTTATTAAAAAAACATTACAAAATTTACATGAAACCCTAAAGTAGCAATTAAATATTTTCTAATTGTTTCTTTTGATTTCACCTCAATTTGATGCAACTCTTTTGCTGCTACATATATTTATTGTGCCTTTCTTCCATCTGCTGATCACTTTTGGTGCACCTCCTCTTTATGCAGTATGAATTTTTGGTGGCCTCTCATTGGTGCAGCAAATGTTTTTGATGCTCTTCCTTAGCATAATTGAACAAATCATCCTCTCTTATTTGTCTTTGTTTCAAAAACTCAATTTTTTTTATCCGTGTGGATCATAATCCGCTTCCTTGTTTCCAAAGGGTTAAAAGATTTTTTCCTTTTGTTGTAGGACACAGCTATACAAGAATAAATATAAAAATGTGCCTACACCTTCATTAAATGTATATTAAATTTAACACTTGGTGTCTAGACCCATCTGAGTTGAAAAACGTCACAGAGATTTCAAGCTGATCTTTTTGTAGATTGCTCAGTGATCAGTTGTTTGCAGGTTACGACTGTGTAATCCTTGAGAAGCATCACCAGTTTGGCAGTTTCTTTTTGGCGAAGTTAGCAGTATGGTCCCTTTAACAAAACATAAATGTATTACTTTCTATTACGAAACACAAGATAAACCGGAATAAATAACACGAAAATATGTTTGTACTTACTTATTTGACCGTTGGCTGTTTGCGGACATCGTTATTTATATATTTAAGTATCGTATGGCTATGTTCACATGTAACGCGCGTTAACGCGCGTCAACGCGCGATCAAATTTGAAGAGCGTTCAGATGATGAGGCTAACGCTTGCGAGAGTACTCGTCAGTCTAGTTCGGTAGAACGTAGAAAATGGACGTGGAAGAGGCTATTATTTTGGTTATATTATAAAAAATATATAGAAAAGAAAACGTACATTGGGTTTATCCAATTTTGAAAAAAAATACAATTTATATTATATTTTTTATACAAATTTGTATATTCCAACTTGTGACCTTTTTTCTACTTCATCGATTAGTAAGTCGATGTCAATATCTTCAATTTCACTCATTTTAAAAGCGAGAACAAAATATAATTACGAAAATTAATAAAATTACATGCGATCGCGATGAAAGCGCGCGCTCATCTGAACAGCAAACGGACATTACATTAATATCAGCGCGGTCAGCGGATCACCTGCGTCTAGAGACTTT